GCTTACCAACTCTCCTCATTTCATTTGGTAGAGGCAGCTAGGAGGAAAGCATCTGAAGATCTTAGAGCAGGGAGGGGAAACTGTGGTAAATGGAGGTTTCCCAATGGGCACACTAGATTCTGCTGCAGGCTGTCCCCTCCTCATCACACCCCCCACCCAATTTTCAGCACTAGATCCTGCCATGCCCCTTCTGTCTAGACGATGGAGTCAGATTTGTTGGAGGGTGAGCTCAGGAGAAGGGCTCCCCCAGCATTGGAACAGTTCCTGACTTCTGTCTTGGGGTCTGTGCATAGGCGTTCCTGATTTTTCTCTGGGAAGAAAACAGTTTTTCTCTTTCCCTTCCCCTACACACATTCCCAGTATTACCTTAAAAACAAAAGCAGGAAAGTATAGACTCCCTTCAGAGCTGAGGGCTTTTGTGGCATCAGAAACCTGACCAGGAGTTGACAACTGGAGGGGTCCTCCAGATGGTTTGGCCTATGAATCCCATGGCCGCCTCCATTGTCTGTGTTGGCTGGGCCTGATAGGAGAAATGCTTTTGAAAGTATTTGTAATGATTAAGTGTTATGGGTTCATAATGCCAACTTTCTTGCAGCAAGATGAAATCAAAGCATGCAATATAATTCAATAATTGTATGTTATGCTGCTTTGAGCACCACCCTGCAATATCCCAAGACAGCATTTTTATCTCAGTGTCCTTTAGGGTTCTGAATTTAGCACTTACTGGATTGATTGATTGATTGATTGCATTTATATACCACCCGAATAGCCCAGAGGGTTCTCCGGGTGGTTTACAAACATTAAAACCCCACCAATCCAAAAAGAAATAAATCGGCTACTTCCACTCTGCCTAAGTGCCCTGACTTGTCTAAGAACAACCCTACCATTCTTCAGTTCCACAGGGGTCCGGCCTGTTCTTTTTTGTAGTTTCTTTGATCCTAGAAGGAATCCTAAACTTATGCCTGTTAGCTTAGCCAGGGCTTTGCATTTAGTTAGTCTAAGTTGTGGCAGACTCTTTCATACTCCAGGGGTGGTAGACTTTGTAGCTTGGCATCTATAGATTTGAAAAAGTCCTTAGGGTGGTATAAAAGTCCCTAAGGTAGTCACCCTTTTAGCTATACGTACAGGTGAAACAGTTGATGGGCAGGGGGTGATTTACAGATGATTCTAGTATATTTTCTTGGTTGTGCTGTTGAATCAATGTGGGGTAAATTAGCTAATTTAGTGATAATTTGCATTATTCCTTATTGGGAAGTTTAGTGAAAGATCTTATCAATTCTTTTCTGATGTTGACCAGTCAAATGAATCTGAATCACAGTTCTCCAGGATTTCCTTGCTCTGTAGTTGCATCTGTAGTTTTGGTTTCTTGGGTTGTTTCTCTGTAGTTTGCATGCCTCCTTTGGAGGGTACCACTGGTGATACTCTGCAGTCGGTTCTGCATGAAAGAACTTGACTCCTTGTATTCTCCCTTTTTAAGCAAGTAGAGGTGTAATTATTGTACCTTTGAAATGTGAGCACACCTTTCTGTACTAGCTAGGTCTTCCTTTTCATGATCAGAGCTGGGATTCTGTGGCTGTTAAAAGTTAGAATTCTCTTACAACATCCATTGCTAATCAGATCTTGGATTAGCTTCTGGTCTGTGCCCCCAGAAATGGGATCTAATAATAGTTTCAGGTGTTTAACCCAAAAGTAGTGCTCCAGTTAGGGAGAGGCCCCCTGTAAGGAAATAGGCAAAGCACAACCTCACAACATCTCTGAACTAAGCTGTTTGCATGTGTAGGGATTCTTGTTTCTTTCGTTGTCTGAGAGCCTGATGGGAGTTGCAGGCCAAAACATTGCCCACCACTGCTGTCAGCCAAGCAGTTTCCTCAGCCCCCTTCCTTGGTCTCCATGTTTGCAAATTCTGAACTCCAGGAAATAAACCTAGGCCGCAAGAGGAAGCCGGTGCCGCTGGGGGTGGTACGTGGAGAAACCTGACTGAGAGCAAGGATGCTGAGACCGACCATTCCCCCACCCTGCCCCCAGACGTGGATCTTCCTCAGCGCTGGATTTCCGTATGCCTGCTCACCGTTTGGTTGGCTGCATGCCTGTGTGCTGCAGCGAAGCACGTTCTTGTCTCCAGTTGGAGCCCCTGCCCCTCCTGAACGAAGGGCTGTGGAACGCCTACAGCCTTGTAGCTGGTTTTCTCTAATTGGAAGACTGCCTGTTCCAAATGTAAAAAAAAGTCAGCTGTTCTGTACATTGGGATGTCTGGTGCAATGGGAGGTTTCTGTTTTCTGGGGAATACTTTATAGCCTCTGTTGAGGTTGGTGCACTTCCTAGCCTTCCCTACGCATTAGGGTATTTTAGAGTACGTGTGTACCAGAAGTCTGATCTTTGGGTCCTTTGGAAGTGCCACAACCATTTTGATACCTCTGTAAATGGATTGGTTCAGGTTAGATGGTTTCTTTGAATTGTTTTTTTTTAAGTGGTGGTATAACGTAAAAGGGAACGCATTGTAAAATAGATAATATAAAAGATGGCAGATGGTGACAGCATCACAGAGCACAGGCAGAATTTCAGGTCAAAGGGCAAGCCTGGGAAACCTTTCCAAAGCAGAGCACCACCCCTCGGGAGGCTGCGCTCCTGGTCACGTGTGTTTCCCCCTGGTAGCAGTGGGCCCCTGCTGAGGACTGCTCAGCATCACAGAGCTGCTGGTTCAGCCTGGTCTCCTGCTGGATGCCGGGTCAGGATACAGCTCTAGCGGAGAAGCTGAGCTTCTTTCAGCCCGCAGGCCAGATTCTCTCTTGGAGAAGCTGCAGTGCAGTTGTAAAAGGGATGGGGCCAAATGAAAAAGGGGATCAGCATAATTTCATTAGAACCTCTTGCTTCTTTACTGTATTTACACCAAAAAATAAAGCCAAAATAAAATCAGCAAAGAAGAAACCCACTCCAGCACATAAAACCAGTTGCAAGTCAAGGAGACTTAGGAAATTGCATTTTTAACTTTTAAGCAGGGTGGTGTTGAGGGAGGCAGAAAATTGCATTAAAACCCCCAAGAGGCTGGTGGTAAGGGAAGGGGGTGGAGCAGGGGGAAGTTGGGACTGACACCAGACCTGAGGCTCTGCACCCCTGGAATGTTGCATCCCTGACAAATATCCATAAGCCCCTTGTTTACCTATCTGCAAAAGCCTGCCTCCTGCACGGCCAGCCAGTCTAGCCCTAAGGAACCTCCTCCTCATGTATAGCAGAAACCTGTCTCTTCACAAAGTCCTGGTCGTCAGGGTACCGCTTTGTGTTGGGGACGGTACCGAGGTTCTGAGCCACTCAAGACCTGAAAGAAAGGCAATCAACACTTTGCTTTGTGCCTGTCTAGATCTAAAAACAGGTAAAATGGGAAACAAAGTGATCTAGTCTACATAAACGCTTATCAGATCACTGCTTCACTCAGGCAGATGCTATGTTTTTGAAGTTGTTGGCATCAAGCTCCAAAGAAACGAGCAGCCTTGTGCTCGGTCTCTCTCTCTCTCTCTCTCTCTCTCTCTCTCTCTCTCTCTCTCTCTCTCTGTGTGTGTGTGTGTGTGTGTCTGTCGGTCTGTCTGTCTGTCTGTCTGTCTGTCCGTGTGTCTGTGCATAAATAAATAAATTTTGCAATTCTTTCCCTATGGAGGCTGAGCAAAAGCTATACATCAGAGAGGAATATAATCGCAAGGCTCCAAATGAGTCTCTTTTAAAAAGAAAAAAAATACAAAAGCACCTCTAAAGGATGGTGACAATTACTGAATTTCATCTCGGCATTTTTATATTTGACAAGGTGACATTGTGGATGAAATGTATATTGTAAAACGCTGCTGTGCGGTAAGAAAATGATTGAATGTAAATATTTCAAGATGTGGACTGCTGTTCAAATGTTATCATAAATCTCTGCCATTGTTTTAGGGGATAATTCTTCATGCATATTTGAGTCGCATGGATAGGTCCGGCCCCTGGAAGAGTAATCTTCTGCTTGTTATTGCCTTAGTGCTGCTAATGGTTTAATTTCAGCTGTAGACTTCTTCTGCGTGTGAAACTATTCACCATTCCTTTTCTATAATAAATGCGGAATTTTAACAATTCTAACTAGAGCATGATGACTACACTTCCAGTTGCCTCATGTGCTGGTGCATTGCTGAGATTTTCAGAAGCATAGCTGAGACACATCTTGGTGCCGCCGCAGTACCCAGGTGGGCAGGAGCTGGTGCCGTGCTCGCTAGAGGCCCATTGTGGAGCATCCTCTGTCGGGAGGGAGCACTGAATGAGACTGTGGAAGGCCTTGGTGTTGCTGCAGGGCTTGGGGGTACAGCACGGTACAGGCCACCCTCTCCAAGCACTGCTACCAAGGCTGTATTAAACTTGATGTCAGTTTGCCTGCACGGAGGTATGCCAGTATGCCTTCTGAGCTACACCAGGGCAGGGTGCGCCCTATACTTGTGCGGTTGTTTTAGGAGGTTGGCACAAGATGGCCACCAGACCGTCAGATCTGTGAACCTGTGTTCCGCATGCAGAGTTTGTGCACCAAACCTTGGTGAAGAGATCCCCAGAAGAAGCAGACAGCCGTTCTCTCCGTGCCTTTCTGCTCGACATGAGAACAAATAACCTGTGGGAGGCTCTCTAGCATGTCTGTTGCAGCCAGCCCTCTGTAGGCTCTGCTACCCTCCACATTTACTGGACTGGAAATCCCATTGTTCACAAGCAACACGATGGGAGAGGTAGTCCAGCACTTTTCAGGGCACCAGGTTCTTTAAGGCTGGCCTGTTACCTTCATTACCTACTCAATGTTCCATTGTCTACACCTGCAAAATGTGAGTTATGTCCATCTTGTCCTGAAACCACTTTGCCAGAGCTGTAAGTCATTAGCCACTTTGCAAATAGAATGTTAGTCCAGGTAGGCTGGCTGTTTTATGTCCTTATGTCATTAAGATTCGCTCCTCTTCTCACTTTCTTAAATGCCTTTTAACGCCTTGCCTTTTGGCTTCTTGCAGGTTTGGGAGGTTCACTGTCGCAGCCCTCCAGTCCAAGCTAGAGCAGTGCGAGCGTGAAACGAACCGCCTGAAGAAGGCCCTGCAAAGAAGCGACTCATACATTGAGGACCTTGAGTCCCAAATTTCACAGCTGAAAAGGGAATGTGAGCAAAGGCGCAGTGCGAGTCCGGAAAGGGAAGCCGCTGTTGGCCTGAAGGAGAACATGAGCGAAAGTGCTCCTAATGAGATCGCACTCTTGGAGAGCCCGGAGGAACATCTCGATCAAAGCTGCCTGTGTAGCAGCCACAGCCCCGATGGCCTCGAGCAGGCGGCGGGTAGCGGACTGCTCGGTAGCAGCAATGACGTGTGCTTGAATGCGGCCAGCCAGTGCTGCTCGGATGAATCGGTTGGCCAGGGCTCTGTTCCACGGGATGTCTTTACGGGCTCTCAGGAGGGCCTGTTGGATATAGCAGGCTCTCACATGGACACCTGTTCAGAGCAAACATGGCAGAAAATTGAAGACTGTGTCCCATATAAAGAAGAGCTTTATGAGCTTCCAGATCCATGTACCCCACTCTCGCTCAGCTGCCTCCAGCTGAACACTCCGAGCAACAAGGATGATCCTTCTGGAAAGGAGGAGACTGCAAGAGAGCCCTCTGCCTTCCTAAGGAAACTGGAATTTGAGGATTTTGGTGAGGCGTCAGATGACGGCAACAAGGACTCTCCTGATCGTAGTGCAAGCAGCTGTGAGAGCACTGAAAACAAGGTGGCGTGTTTTGTATCAGACAAGCCAGTATTTTGGGACAGATGCCAGCCTCACTATGATAACTTGGACTTTGAAGGCTCGGAACCAAATGCAGTCACTAACGACTCAGGAGAGTCTTCGGCAAAATCCAACGATAAAACACACAATCCAGTTGTGCCTAAAAAACTTCATTCAGTCCGTTCTTCAGAGATGAATCGCACCAGAACTTCCAGTGAGGCATCTATGGATGCTGCTTACCTTGATAAAATCTCTGAACTGGATTCCATGATGTCTGAATCGGACAACAGCAAGAGCCCCTATTATACTTCCAAGTCATCTTCTGACCTGGATACTTCCTGCAAGGTCGATCCACATCATGACCTTTTGAATGAAAATGATAAGAATGGGAAAGAAAGGAAGGAGCAAAATTCTCTGAAATGTCCTCTGGCGACTGATCCTTCTGAAGAGGACAGTGAGTGGAAATCTGCGACTTTTTCAATCCTTTCTCCATCTGCATTAGACATAACTGATCCTTTCCCACTCTTTGCAGGCCGGACTTCAGAAATGAGTGAAATAAAGCCTCCAGGCTTCTTGTTCCAAAGAGAGCTGTCCCCAAGCTTTCTCTTTAGCAACTCTCGAGGACTGTTTGAAGAGCAAAAGCTTGGGTCCCCTCTCTTTAAAGTGGCTCCTGAGCTGCATAGCCAGCATCACCAGCTGCAGTCTCCATGGTCGTCATCCTTCATACCCGACAGAAAAGCCAAAAGTATCCATGCATCAGCAAAAAGGAAAATTCAGAGTAGTCTGTCTAGTGCAAGTCCCTCGAAAACAACCAAAAATTGATGCCCTGGTTGACTTTCCTTTTTCTAAACAAAATAGATATTTAGTGCTGATGTGAAATGGTTCAAATTCCCTCACCCGCCCAGAGTGAATACTTCTTAAGTTCTCCTTTGATCTCAGTGTGTCCAGGACTTAAATACTGAGAGATGGAGCGTGAAGATTCTCTCAGAGAGTTTTTGTTGAAGAAGGACGCATCAGTTGATGTCTTCAGTTTTAGACACCACCCTTTTGTTTTAGTGCTGGGTTGTATGATGTCTTTTATGCTGTGAGGAGCTGCTAAATGTCCAGTTACTGAGTGTGACAGGTCTTCAAAACAGTTTCTCATTGAAAGCAATCTTTACATGGGGAAGACCCTTGAGAGACAACGCCATAGTCTCTCTTGTGCAAAAATGTGATGGCAGCTATTGCTGAGCCAAGCTTCTCCCTGAACCTGGATTTCAGAATAAAACGTTTGCCTGCTATTATCTGCATTAGTCGGTTTCCTTCCCTCTGCCTTCTCCCCTGCTGAATCTGTAGTTTTCAGTGTGGAGCTGTTAGTTCGTATCTTTTATTTTCCTTTGGCAAGTTTTCTGTTGGAAAAAATGCCTTTTTCCTTGAGACAGAGAATCCAGTTATTTTTTATTTTTTTAATTAAATACTGCTTTTAACTTTCTAAAAATGGAAAATCTCCACTGTTGTATAAGACTGTGTGATTTGTGTCTGCATAGTTCAAAAATGGGTTGGTATGCTAATGGCTTGTTTACTGAATGTGCACTGAGCATTTTACATGAATACTGCATGCTTTCCTATGTGTAATGAATAAAATCAAAGTCACAAGCAACATAGTCTTTGATGTTGTTTCAGGTATTGCGGAATTGAGAACTTCTGCAATTAGAAATCCTGTCCCAAATTGTCATTAAGCTGTTCTCTGTGATAGAAACACAGACCAGGTTTGCCAAAAGTAGTAATACCTTGTGTCTTGAATTTCTGTGATGCATTTATTTATCTTTAGACATGAGTAGATTGGCATCCTATACTTCCAAAGAGTTCAGGTTGGTATATATTGGGCTATCACACTTTTTAGGTGAATAACAACACCATCTATTAGGTTAGTTTAGGAGAGTCCTCTCTCTGGATATTTTGGTCTTCACCTACCATTACCCCGAGAGAGCATGGTCAGTGTTCAGGCATTCTGGAAGTTGTAGCCCAAAACACCTGAAGAGTGCCAGGTTGGGGGAGGTTTGTTTAGGGTGAGTGATTGGTCCATAATGGATTGGATCCAGTTTTAGTCCCATCTGGAGAGGACCCATTTCAGTCAAGGGGACTTAAATCAGTTGTGGCTAATTTAAGCCCCCTTGATTTTAATGAATCTACTCTAAATGTAAATCTATCCCAATCCCATACCTTTCAGCAGTGTGTGTAGCTGAACATGTGTGAGCCATCATATGTTTGTTGTTATCCCATGGTCCATTGCACTGAAAGCTGTCCAAGGACCAAACGAAACGCTAAAGCACAGATAGTGGAGCTCTCCGTTACTTTCCTACAAGTTTGCACAGCCCTGGCATAAATTGGGACTGTGGTCTTCTGAGAGAGGAGGATTTAAATTCCCACCCTGTTTCCCACCCCCCAGGGAGGATTTAGAAAGGGAAAATATCTATTGATTTCAAAGAAGACATTTTAACACACGCATATGAGTGGGCAGGTGGAATTTTAGGATGAAAAGAAGTGGGGGACAGACAGATACTTCAGTCCTTTCCCAGAATGCCACCCTCTTAGTCTGAATCAAAATCATGCATGCATGAGGAAGAGATAGGAAAGCAGTTGCACATTGCTTCACCATGCACCGTAAGGACACCGTTCGGTTTTTCCTGAGGTTTTTGGCCATCCCCACATATGGGGGAAGCAAGTTACAATGGAACCATGTGCTGTGTGAAGTCTTTCCTTTTGATTGTCCGGAATCTTCCACCATTAAGCTTCAGTGAATGGACTCTCAGGTTTTAGTATTATATGAAAGGTGATGTCGGAGTTAATTCAGTATTGTGACTGGCTTCAGCTTGAAGCAATGCACAGATGCCTGAAACTAAACAGCTCGCATAACCTATGCAACAGAGCCCACATCAAAAGATTATTTCTGCTTGGCCTCAATGTGGATGTCCTGCAGCTTCACATTCCTGCAGCAGGAATGCTTGCCTTGTGAGCAAAAAGCCATGCAATATTCAATTCTAAGGCACTTGATTTTTCAGTATGTCCATTTCTTGATACTTTAGGGATTGGTTCTTTTTTCTTTTTGGGGGGGATGCATATCAAATAATGAGTACTTTTTTTAAACAGAACAAAAAAAAATCTCAAGTAGAAAGTGGTTTATTTGCTCCTGTGTCAGGGGTGCAGAAACTCCATTTGCCCAAGGTTGCAGAGAAGATATGGGTGGGGGGGAGCATTCTAGTGATGGCTGAAGCAAAAGACAAGAGCAGGTAGTGTGAAAATTCTGAAAAAACAGAAACAGAGCGAGTCAGAAGGGGTCTCTCGGGCCATCTAGTCTGACCCCCAGCTCTACTCATGACTGGCCCACCAGGTGCATGTCTAGCCTATCCTTGAACACCCTCACCGATGTGGCCTCAGCCACCTCCCATGGAAGCCCATTCCACACCCTTGGGGTCCTGACTGTCAGGAAATGCTTCCTGGCATCCAAATGGAACCTTGGCTCCCTGAGCTTTGCTCCATTGGAGCACGTCCTACCCTCCTCTGCAAGGGAGAACAGGTCCGTGTGACACCCCGTCACATACCTAATAACGTGTTTCAGCTTACAGTTTATAGTACCTGTAATGAAGGCTTAGATGATGCACTTCAACCTTTTAGGGTGGAAAACAACTGTATAAATGTCAGGAAACCACCAGATCAGTGGTTTGGGGAAAGTGGGTGGGGATAAGAGAAAGGGGCGTGGCCATCTGGGCACCTCCCCCACTCCCAGAGATTTGATCCCTTGGCCCTATGGTTCTTCACCTTGTTTTATGGCTTAGCAATGATCTAAACTAAAAGCTGGCAAGTGTAGTGTGGCATAACTGTCAGACTAAGACCTCTTTACCAAAGACATGCAATTCTGCTTACACTTTGAGCATCCGCTGTGATGGACATGGTCTGTGAAAGTTATGCCTTAATAAATGCGTGATGGTGAACGCTTTTGGTTGTTCCTGCTACAGTAAACTGAAATGGTTGCCCCTCTGGAAACAAACTGATTGCTCTGGTTTTTGATTTCACTTAAAGTGATTTTGTTAATATAGTTTATAAACTAATTTTATAGGTGCATTTGTGAAGATATTGAAGGAAGGCTGCAAGCATTACAATTAATGAATGCTACCACTTATTGTGCAAAGAAAAGGTCAACTTTTAAACTTGTTTCAATTTTTTCTTGCAGTGACACACTGGAGCTAAACTGTACAAACTGACCATCTTGGCCCTACCAGTTAAAAAGTGGTTCCTTTGATCAGCTGCAGGGCAGGAGAAGTGTGGCCTTCCCCTTTGTTGTTGTTGTTGTTGTTGCTAGTCGCAAAGTCACATCCAACCCATCGTGACCCCCTGGACAACATTTCTCCAGGCCTTCCTGTCCTCCACCATCTCCCAGAGTCCACTTAAGCTCACGCCAAATGCTTCCGTGATTCCATCCAGCCACCTCATTCTCTGCTGTCCTCTTCTGCTTTTGGCGTCAAAAAGGTCTTCCCCTTCACCCCTGCGCTTTTCCTGCATTTTTATAGCATTCCTGGCAATCTCTGACTTCTCTGAGTTACGCACATCCTCCTTGGATTGCACCTAAAGCCGGGGTACAGGTTATGCAGGGGTGGGCCACCTGTGGCCCTTCATAGTTTTTTGGCCTACCCAGAATCCCCCCCAATGGGCTATGCTGGCTAGGGTTCATGGGAGTTGCAGTCCAATAACATCTGGAGGAGCACCAGTGACCCACCCTTGAATGAAACATTGACCAGGATGGTTTCCTTCGCAGTCGTCATGATGGGTGTTGCTCTTCTGAGCAGAGTGTGTATACCTACCCACTTACCTACCTACCGATACAGGAAAGCTCATGAACCCTGTGTCAGTGGAAGCCCATCTGTTGCGACCTCTTTTCACATGGACAGGAACTATCCATGGTGCTCAACTCCATCCCCAAAATTGCCAGTACGGAGCACCATGGACAGCTCCTTCAAAGCTGAAAAAGCTGCAATGGGCAAGGTGTTCCTCTGAAATAGCAGTGGCAAGCCTCGTGTGTGTGTGTGTGTGTGTGTGTGTGTGTGTGTGAGAGAGAGAGAGAGAGAGAGAGACAGACAGACAGACAGACAGACAGACAGACAGACAGGAAGGGAAATACAGAAATCTCTTTGCACATGTACTAGAGTATTGTATACTTTAAATGGCAGTAATTCTCCAGGTACTCAGCCAGAGGTTATCCAACTGCCATCTACTTATTCCAGTTAGAAGTGTCAAATATTGAATTTGGGACATTTTGCATCCAGAGCATGTGCTCTTACCACGGAGCCCCTCCCCAAACACAGGTAGTAAATGCATCTCAGAGGATAAACATGAACCATGTAGCCCAGGTGCACAAAGGGTTACAGGAGCGGAAATTGCAGCATTAACACAACCTCTTTAAATTCAGATCTTTCCCTTTCATGACCCACTCAAGGGCATAGCGTATGCTTCATGTTCATCTCTGTGCACATTGTTTAAATATTTAATAATGTGAGGTTTGCACACAAACTAATGTGTAGCAAAATAGTTACTACCAATACAGGGACTGTGCCCTGTATTTTTCCTGCTCTTGGGCATTTAAAATCTGCATTGCCTTATTTTGACTCTGTATCATTTAACTCCAAATTGCTCCGAACACTACAGTTGACAGCGACTGTAGTGGCTGATATGCTTTTCTAAAAGTGGAGGCCAATCTGTCTTGGGTTTTGTAGAAGCATTTTCTAGGGCTGTTCTTAATATTGCACCCCCCCCCAAAAAAAAAAGATAAAATGCAGCCTCAGTGTTCACTGCTTGGCACCTGTTTATTCCCATCTGGAGCATAGATAAACACATAGAAACAGAGCGAGTCAGAATGGGTCCCCCGGGCCATCCAGTCTGACCTCCAGCACCAGCCAGCTCCGCTCACGACATGCCCACCATGTGGACGTCCAAGCCTATCCTTGAACACCTGCACCGATGGGGCCTCAGCGACCTCTCGTGGAAGCCCATTCCACACCCTCGGGGTCCGGACTGTCAGGAAGTGCTTCCTGGCACCCAAATTGAACCTTGGTTCCCTGAGCTCTGCTGCATAGGAGCACGTCCTGCCCTCCTCTGCAGGTCTCCACCCACCTCCATGTGACACCCCCTCACATATCTGTATGTCGCCAACAGATCCCCTCATGCAGATCCCCTCTGCGAGATCTCCAGCGTGATTACACAGAAGCCAAAGAGCTCCTTTCAGTTTGCCCAAGGCCTTGTGCTTGCTTAGCAGAGTGCTTCCCTTTTGCTTGGAAGAACACGCCACACCCTGAGGTCAAACGATGAGCTGCTTTGGAAAGGTTCCGTATAACTCTCCGCAGAAGAGTTATACGGCGAGCGCAGAACTCTCCGCTCCAGCTTCTGAATCAGGACAGTGGCCACTTTTAGGCAAAAGCAGACATTACATCTGTGTCCAGCAGCAAAGTCCAACTGCAGTTTTGCTCTAGAGAATGTCCGATAGCCGTAATCCAGATCTTTAAAGCCCTCCTATCCCCATCCTAGGGTCTTGTTCCAAATTAGGGCCCTTGCTCTTATTTTGGGATAAAAATGAAAGGAGAAAGGAAACATGACTGCTGGTCATGCCCT